CAGTATCATTATTGGTATAATTATAAAATATTCATCAGCTTTTTGTCGAAGTATTTGAGATTTAGGTTGAAAATAATTCAAAACTTTATTGATATTATCATTTTACAATTTTTTTTATTTTTACCATCTGATTAATATTAAAATAAAAAATATATTAAACTAAAAAGAATCAGTATTTGGAAATTAGTATTTGATTTTAAATATAGATACTTTATCTAAAGTATTTGAACTTTTTTACTCAAGTTCTTTACAAGTTTGAACTCCTATTGTACAAAAATATGCGTTGCTTGCAATTACATATTGTAAAATAGACATCAGATAACTATTATAAAAATAAATACTATTACAATATGAACAATATTTATATAAAACCCAATAAAAATAATAAAATTAAAATGTACTTAAAACTATTTAAGGACATGAAATTTTGACGTAGTATTTGTTCATTAACGGAATTTATGCAGTATATAAATATTAAATATTCACTAATATTTCATGATATAGTTGATTCATAATAAATTCTACATACAGATGGTTATGAAATATAATTTGGAATTATCGGTGTTGCTATATACTATTTGTTCATATAATCACAATATTTATATGTATGAATTTATAATAGTAGTTRGGTTGTAAATGTCTGCATTTAAATTTTAAATAATTTATTTTTCGTAGAGGAAGGTTATGGGAGCATAATATAAGCATATAATTTATCTATATTTTAATCAAAACTATATTATTTTATACATTAAACATAAAACTCTTTAAATAATGACATGTGAATATATCATATATCAATAATTTTGTAAAGCATTATCATAGAAGTCTAATTTTAAAGTAAAATAATATTACTTCAGTGACTTGGTGAGGCGCGATCGTACGCTCAATCTGCGGAAACGCACTGAGCGTACGTACCGGYCGCAGTTGCTAGCTCCTGGATGGGTGACCACCAGGGATTTTTAGCAACATATCCTTGCCGCACATACACAAACACGTGTTACAACCCTACCCACTTAAAAAACTTACAAACAAATACACAAAAATAACCCTTACCGTACCACCCCACATCCAATGGCCTATATTGCCGTGGGTTCCCCTCACCAAAAAAAATATTTATGACTACATAGGTATTATATACAATGTACATTTACCAATGTGAATTCTATTAGGACACCCAACATCCTAATATCCTATCATACATAATATAATATTTATTTTTTTAATTTTATTTTTTCTAATGCAGTTGTTGAAGAATTATGTTTGCCATTTAGTGATAGCACAACTGAATTTAATTATAATCATCATAAACACTTAAAATCAAAATAAATATAATAATAAATACAATAATTATTTCAACAGTTACATTTTTTTAATCTATTCATTATAATAT